ACAGACAGCATATTGCAATATCCAGTGTAAAAGACAACTAAGCTGTTGCTAAATAGAGAAACAGTGATAAGCTACAAACCCACAAATCCTGATTTCTAGTTGCCTCCACTCTGAAAAATTGGTCTACAGCTGAAAATTAGTTCTTTGTCCATTTTTACAACACAAACCAAAGCAATATGCAGCATGCTGCACAGAACAGCTTTCAGCAACCATCTTCGCTATGTCAGAATATAAAAGTTTACTAATTTTGTAGTCACTAGAGGGAGCCATCCGTCATTTTACTTGTGCTGCTCCTCGTGTTTGAAACTCAAATTTCACAGCTCTGCTAAAGGGAAAGATTATTTGTGTCAGATCTAAACATACTATTTAGTAAGCATTGCAAAGAAGAGTTTGGATACCTATTTATCCCCCCCCCCCCCTTAAGAAACTCTAATAGACACTCAATCTTCAAGCAGAAGCTAAAATAATCTTGGAGAATATTACCTCACTGAAGTAAAGTACATCTTTGTCTTGAAGAGCAGATTGGGAAACAGAGTGGCAGGAAGGTAATCTTCATAACCTGTGGCACCCTGACACAAGAACGGATTTCTCCTGCTTTCAGAAAGCAGTTTCTGAAGGCCAGCAAACTTTCTTCTTCATGTAACTCTGTCTTCAACTGACAGGGACGTAATACACCATTTCTACCTTTGTGGTGCAGATATTGGGTGAAGTTATACAGCCTTAATATACAAATACTGTATTTTTATGGATTCTCCAGACCTAGATCATTTGCCCGGAAATTACAGTGAAGACTGCTCAATCCTGATCCACAGTGTGCTATAGAAAACAAAATGTAACTGCGAAGCATTAAGAAAGTAGGACCGGGAAAAGAGCTCTCTGGGCCAAGCTTAGAGTAAATTATATATGCTGGTGATATAATGTAAGTGTTTTGTGATCTATTTTTCTCTCAAATTCTGTTTTCTACAATTGATCATGACGAGTTATAATGGGAAACCGTACTGGGAACTTCAGACGCCCAAAGTCCAGAGTCCTAACTGCGCATGTACATACCTCTTATGGGCTGTACAAGGCTCTGGAATACACCAGATGACGACCAATTTCCTCAACTTAAACTTCTGTTCTCTCCTTGTGCAGTGCTGATGGTTATGTCTGGACGTGGAAGAAAGTAAGCTCTCAATCTCTAAAGTTCAATCAGTTTAAGGTCTGAAAATGAACCTTGAAGGAGCTTTATGCTAGAAGCATTTTACTTCAGCATACAATTCATAAATTAATTCTTAAAAATTGAAGAGATGACCCCCAAAAACAAACTGTCCCTTTCCTTTACTGTGGCTTCTCATCCAGTCTGGATAGTGCACGTTTCAGAGAAAGGAGCACGGCCTGTTTTCAGTTTGCACCATTACTGAAACCTTGGGATACAAACACAGCCAACCTCGAATAACCTTCCTCTGTCTACACGGGACAGAAAAAGAGATGGAGCAGTAACGGAGATAACACCTGCCAGTCACAAGCTGGGACTCAACACTGGTCTTAGCCAGACAAGGGCAGAGAGACTCCCCCATGCTGTGAGAAACATTTACACCATCTAGTTATCCCAAAAAAGAGAGCAGAAGAGTTGTGTGCATTACTACAGAGCAGCTCTGAGTACATCCAATCCCTTGCGCAAAGCCTTGTTTAGATAGGAACAGGCAGGAGGCATATGAAAGAAGACAGTTGATAAATTAGCCATTACTTCCCAAACATGGTAAGACGTTTTGAAGCCCAGGACGCTTCTCTCTGTGGTCTTCACCAATTTTTTGGTACTTCACCTGTAGTCATATCATACTTACCTGAAAATACCAAATACACTCAACTACGAGCAGAAATCCCAGAGACTGCAAAGAAAGTGCCCACTCTAATTCTCTATCATTTATATGCTGTAGCGTAAGGTGCAATTTGTGCTTTAGAAACTGAAATAGACAAGTTTATTACATGTTCAGTCCCTGTGGACTTCCCTTTCACTAGTATTGTTTTTGACAAGTCAGGTTGATTTTAGTAGAGTTCTTCATCAATTTTTACCTTCACAAGAAGCCTAATCAGACAAGATATGGAAGATGGATATTAGCTTAAATACTTCAATCATTTTGTCTTTCAGAATCATATGTGCAGAAAGAACCATTACACTAATACCAGTGGTGGTTGCACTGGCACCAACCCAAGCAGGAACTTGGTTGCTGTACAGGGTAGTAAGTAACCTAATCAATATAAAAAACACCTTGAAACTCACCTGCCGGGGTACATTGGTAACAGGGATTATTTTGTCAGTCCTTGAAAACTAAGGCCGTTAATGCTCCAATTTACACTTTACTGATTTTTACACTGTAATACAAAGACTCAAATGCTGTGAATACAAGTCTTATTTGCAGATATTGGTGCCAAAGAGAGGGATGTAAATCAACCCACCATGAGCCTGCACGAGAGTCAGAGAGAGGCTGAAGCTCTTGCTGCCTTAATTTGTAACAGCCGCTC